GGCATTGAGTGTGCTGTGCTGTGCTCCGCAGGGCATTGAGTGTGCTGTGCTGTGCTGTGCTCCGCAGGGCATTGAGTGTGCTGTGCTGTGCTGTGCTCCGCAGGGCATTGAGTGTGCTGTGCTCCGCAGGGCATTGAGTGTGCTGTGCTGTGCTCCGCAGGGTGTATGACTACCAGCGTGTTCCAGCTTCGCTGCCGCCCCTCCCTCACGGGCCCAGCCCTGCCAAACGGCCCCGCTCTTCCTCCTCTTCCAGCCGGCGGCGGAGCCGCGACAGACTGTCCACCAAGAACAGCTCTCGGCCCAGCTCGTCCGGCTCCAACAGGGCGAAGTGTGAGCGCCAGGGCGTCACGGGGGCCTGGGATTGGATACAGGGGCTGGTGGGAGGGGCTAGGGCCAGGATGGGAAGATCTGCACCCTAAGGATGATGCAGCAAATGCAGGAAATAGTGACTACGGTGTACGGTGTAGCTGGACAAACAGTGCCGATGAAAATGTATGGAAACATGAGGACAGTGTGTGTGTGTATATACAGGAGTGTGTGTTGGCATGCGACTGTTTCAGGGCTCAGGAAGTGACACAGATGGTGCCTTTTTAAACACCTCCCCAGTGCGGCACCCAGTCTATCAGGGTGTGCAGTTATACCAGATTAATAGTGCAGAACAAATAAGAACTGTTTATGCTGCTTTATTACAGGCTCTTAATAGTTTTACTGCCAGCACATCAGAGTCAAATTAGTTTGCCTTTGCAGCCTGGAGGTCACGCGGCGGCCTCCGCGAGCCGGCCCTCGCTCGCGTCCCCGCGGCCCCGGCTTTGCTAAATTGGCAGCAATGGCTGAGATTCATCACACACCCGGGGGTCAAATCTCAGATAGCGCCAGCGGGGATTCGTAAGCGTGTGTTACCGAAGATTACTGTCGAGAGGAGAACGCCGGCTCGTTAAGGCGGGAGCTGGAGCAGATGGAAAATGGACTGTGGCACTGCTCGCTGGGGTGGGGGGGGGGGGGGGGGGGGGGGGGGGGGGGGGGGGGGTTGCGTGGACCTGCAGGGCTCCCTCAAACCCTACCCATCAGTTTCTGCTGCCTTTACCTGAATCCCTCTTTTCATTAATTCTTTACTCCATCCCTCCATTCTGCACTTCTCAGGCTTCCTCCACCTCCATCTGTTACCCAGTATTGCTTCATTTCTCTCCTCCTCCCCCTATTGCTCTCCATGTTCACCTCTCGCTTCTCCGCTCAGACTGCTCTTTCAGTCTCTCCCTCCCTGCCTCTCTCTTGTGCTCTTTCTCTTGCTTTCTTTCTTTCTGTGGCCCTCTATCTCCGTCCTGCTGTTCTTTGTCTGTCTGGCTCTGCCTCCTACTGACTCCTCCCCCTTTCAATCTCCACCCTCCTGCACAGTGAAGATGGAGGAGCTGCAGACTATTAAGCGGGAGCTGACACTGATCAAGGTGCAGATAGACGGCCTCCTGGATAGCCTGGACAGGATGGATCAGCAGCGGCGGGACCGCACAGGTATCTGTGAAAAGGGCCTCTGTCTCCCCCTAGTGGTGATCAGAGGCTACTGTCCAGCCCTGATCTGGTATGTGTGACCCCATACCATAACAATGCCTTGCACACTAGGGAGTGTGGCCTGCTTTGCCTAAATGGATGAATAAAAATGACGTGACTGATCCTCCCCATCATTTAAAGTCACACTCACACCTAGGAGCATGCACACCATCAACCTGGCATCGTCTGGATGACTGGCAATCAATGCTCCCATAGAAGCCAGACGCTTCATTTTCAGCTGCCCGTAGGCAGTTTGACCTAACACACACTTTCTCTGCCTCCCCTGAGCTGCTACAAACATACCGGACATCGATAAGGCACCTGCAAAGAATTTCAAAGTATGAATGTGAAGACTAGAACTTCAGGAGATCACTGAAACGATGTACACCAAACTGCACTCAGCAAACCCTAAGTTCTCATCAGCACTGAGGTTATTAAGTGAAAGAACCACCAGGGTCCCCGTGATTTATTGGACCGTACGTTGTGGAAGTGCAAGCAGATTGTTTTGGTTATGGTTGTTAATGCTGAGGGATGCTGACAATTACCATTGTGATTATTGCTGTTGTTATTCAACAAATGAGTGAAGGCAGGAAGGACTTCTGTGCTTGATGTGACGCTACAACATTAGCTAGCAAGACTTTTCTGTTCCTGGGCAGTTGTACATGAGGGGTGTGGGATGGCACAGGAGGTTTGCGTGGTTGTACTGGAGGTGCATGTAGTTGTACTGGAGGCGTGTGTGGTTGTACAGGAGGTGTGTGGTTGTACAGGAGGTGTGTGTAGTTGTTCAGGAGGTGTGTGTTGTTGTACAGGAGGCGTGTGTAGTTGTACTGGAGGTGTGTGTAGTTGTACAGAAGGTGTGTGTAGTTGTACAGGAGGTGTGTGCAGTTGTTCAGGAGGTGTGTGTGGTTGTACTGGAGGCATGTGTAGTTGTACAGGAGGTGTGTGTAGTTGTACTGGAGGCGTGTGTGGTTGTTCAGGAGGCGTGTGTGGTTGTACAGGAGGTGTGTGTAGTTGTACTGGAGGCGTGTGTGGTTGTTTAGGAGGCGTGTGTGGTTGTACAGGAGGCGTGTGTGGTTGTACAGGAGGTGTGTGTAGTTATACTGGAGGCATGTGTGGTTGTTCAGGAGGCGTGTGTGGTTGTACAGGTGTGTGTGGTTGTACAAGAGGTGTGTGTGGTTGTACTGGAGGCATGTGTGGTTGTTCAGGAGGCGTGTGTGGTTGTACAGGAGGCGTGTGTGGTTGTACAGGAGGCGTGTGTAGTTGTACAGGAGGCGTGTGTGGTTGTTCAGGAGGTGTGTGTAGTTGTACTGGCGGCATGTGTAGTTGTACAGGAGGTGTGTGCAGTTGTACAGAAGGTGTGTGTAGTTGTACTGGAAGCGTGTGTGGTTGTTCAGGAGGTGTGTGTGGTTGTTCAGGAGGTGTGTGTAGTTGTACTGGCGGCATGTGTGGTTGTACAGGAGGTGTGTGCAGTTGTACAGGAGGCGTGTGTAGTTGTACAGAAGGTGTGTGTAGTTGTACTGGAAGCGTGTGTGGTTGTTCAGGAGGTGTGTGTGGTTGTTCAGGAGGTGTGTGTAGTTGTACTGGCGGCATGTGTGGTTGTACAGG